AACCCCCCCCCCCCACTAAATCTTGTTACTCCTTAATGCGTGCATCCCTGGCCAGTAGAGAAAAAGCTAATGCAAATATTGAAAACTTTTAAAATTCCAGTTGCCAGTAGAATTATAAATGCAGTGGAAGATCCAGGCCACTGAAGTACACCAGGCCTGGTAAAAATTTTGCTGGCAATTATAATGAGAACTTTATGTGGAAATCAGTGAATAGAGGTCAAGTAGATAAAAACAGCTAATGAGAACAGTCACATCTTAAAATTGGAAAGGTGGATTGAAATGTACTTTCATTTCTGGCCTATCATGCTATGTGCTTTTTGCCCATACTGACATAAGAGCACCACGTCAATCAGGTCAGGGGAACAGAATAAAGGGTGCTGGATGGTGCTGTATAGTCAACCTGCTTATCGCAGATCATCCTTAGTTGAGATACCCAACCTCTAGGTTTCCCAACTGCTCTCTCTAATAACAGGCAGTATGAGGATCCTATACAAAACAAGAATAGTTTTTGACAATGAAAATGAAGTTTATAGCAAATAATCTGAAAATACTAATATACATTCTATTAGTATTGTAATTGACAATATTATTAAAACATAACAAACATGTGATCTTTGCTCACAAACTTATCATCAGCAATCTCATATGCATCTTTCAAAATAGTTATTCACCATTTTTAGAAATATAAGCAATGCTACACTGTCAGGCTCAAAACGTGGACAATACCTACAAACTAAATCTTTATTGTAACTTTGGAACAGTAGCTATTACCAATAGTTGACAATCACCGAGCAAGCTTAAAGTTGATAACAAAATTTATTTTATTTACCTCCTCCCACCACAATCCAGCATGCTGTTTTCCATGTTTTTCCCTCTGCAACTAAACATACGTGGACAATACCTACAAACTAAATCTTTATTGTAACTTTGGAACAGTAGCTATTACCAATAGTTGACAATCACCGAGCAAGCTTAAAGTTGATAACAAAATTTATTTTATTTACCTCCTCCCACCACAATCCAG